AAAACCATTGCCTTGCCATTGAAACTGGAGACAAGGGGGATTTCGCCATACTGGGCACTATTCTCCGATATTTGAAGCAATTCTATCAAAATCATGATCATGATGGGCCATTAAACCATGGACAGGACTTACTTTGATCCCAAGGAGTGATCTTCATCTTCCCTGAGTCCAACAAATTGGCGAGCAATGCCCATTGTTTCTGGAGATAGCCTGTTTGATATAAAATTTGGGCCCAAGGGAGTGTCGACCTCGTTCGAAGGCCACCCAGTGAGTGCAACTTTCTCCGTCTCCACGTAGTTCACGAATGTTGTCAACGGCATCATGGTTCTTGTACTCTTCGGGTGCGGAACGGCCTCGTCTAGATGTAAATAAGTAAAATGTGACCATAGTTCATGTCCGCGACATACGCCATGTGGTCCTAAATATCTGCTTGAAGTCTTTCTGGCTTTCCTTCGAGGGTGCGAACCTTTCGGAAGGCGAACTTGTGGCCGAAGTCTTTCTGCCGCTCTTGCCTGGAACAGGTACCTCTTTGCTTCTTTCACGGTTGTCGTCAATCTGTAAATCTTGCCTTAATTCCTGTTGATATCGTGCAGCTCTGCCGTGCCAAGTTAATAATAAAAACGCGAAAAGAGTTTAATGTGTGACCCACCGAACAGTAGTGGCAAAGACATCAGTCCACTTCCTAATTGGATAATTTTCGCGGTCGAAGAGATCCTTCAAAAACGATGAGTTGACGAAAAGGCCGTCCTTTTGATGCACGGATGGCTTGTCTCCTGAATAGATGATAAAGCCCGCAATATCGAACTCGGGGTCAGTGCGCCGAATGATGTTTAGCTAGAAAAACACAATATGAAAAGCTTTATGTGAATTTAAAAAAAGAATAACTTACCAAACACTCGATCATCGCGCGCCAGCGTTCAAAGCGAACCTCCGGTGCTACGATCGACGATCCGCCGTCCACGATTTCGTCTTGAAGGTGCTCATAAACCTCTTGCATGCGTTCTTCCCTTTCCTCGCTGGTGGTAGTGCCCTGCATGTAGTCAGTATAACACTTGTCCATGAACTTGGCCTTTTCTTCCTTGGTCACTGCCCAGAATGCTATTAGAACTCTGTTTGTCAATTGAAAAAAACAGGGCCACTTACTGCCCTGCATGTCATCCTTGCGAGTCCGGCTGATATAGGATCGGAACTTGTTTGCCCTGTTGGGCCCTCGTTTCTCCTTCAAAAGAAGGTCAGCATGCTCCAAGACAAAGTCCGAGCGCTGTCCAAATTGTGTGCCCAACTCGGCCGCCATCCGGCAGACATACTCGCCAAACAACGAGTAGCACGATTGCTCGAAATTGGTGACCTTTTTCGTCGACAAGGCCTTGAGAACCGCATTCTCCGCTGGCAACGTCATACCCAGCTCGGCAAGGAATTCTGCAGCCGAATTTACAGGTGTCCTCCTCCATTTCGGCATCTTCATCCTCTGTATCGGTGACTTCTTCCCCTCGTTCCTTTCACCTGGCACGACCTCGCCTCAACTCCTGCTGAGCAAGTTCCCAATACAAGCCACTTATGTCGCTTTCAGGGACTCCCTGCGAAGCCAAGATTTGGCGGCATTGAGCTCTCTCGTGGGCGATCTTCTCCCAGTTCAGGGCGTCGATGTGGTCATAAGGTTCCCGAGGAGCAGTGTACCCCTCAGGAATGGGGACGTACTCCTCCAAATCCTCCAAAAAGACCTGGATCAATCGATCCGCGGCATCCTGCTCCCCGCGTTGGGGCAAAGACCCTTGATAGTGGTGGTGCCCGCCATCCCAAGGCTGGGTGAAACGATAAGTGACCGCCTCCGAGCAGAGAAGCGATCACATGCTGTTCTTATCGTCCCATGTAAGGTCGTCCTCCAGGGAGAGGATCTCGAAAGGGTCCTCTCCAGAGTTGCGAGTCTTGTCGAGTGCCATTGCCGCCTCGATGACGTACGAGTTGACGTGCAGTTCGTCTTCTTCCCTCAAAATGTTGAGGGCGTCCACGTAGATCTCAGGCAAGTGAGGGGCTGTAAATCCCTGCGGGATTGGGAGCCACTGCTTGGTGTTGTCGTCCAAATATTTAGTGAACCAGTCGGCTGCAGTCTGGCAGCCTTCTGTTATCTCGCGGCCATGGTAGTACTGGGTGGTCTTGTCGGCGTAGCTGAAGCAATATGCTGTGTGTTTGGACTCGCATGCCTCTCGCATTTCCTGGACCTCGTCGTAGTCGAGGTCGTGGATTGTCAATGACCTTGGATGAAAGTCTTCATCACGGATGCTGGTGAGTTCCCTTCCGGTTGAAGGTAGATTGTTGACGTCGAAGCTTGAATAACTATTGGCCCCTTCTGGCTGGTCAGGCAGCATGATGTCGTCCTCGTCCGAACGCGTCGGGGTTAAGTCCGATAGTGTGTGGTCGCTGTTGTCCGCACTAAAAACAAAGACGTGTGAGTTTCAACATGTGTGTTTGGACGCAGGTAAGATGACGAACTTCATGGCGATGGCAGCAGGGGCCGTAGGTTGAGCAGACGAGGCTTTACGGCCATACGTTCTGAGCACAGGAGCAGGTTTGGACTTGTGTGGAACATGCCCTGGCCTGCAGAGTACGGTTGTCAGACAGGAGAAATAAAAGCAAAAGCAACCGACTAAAGTCTGGTTGAAGAAATTTGCTGCTGGCATAAAGTCAAGCAGCATGCGAGCGACCTAAGCCAGCTCGAAGGATGGAAGCCACTCCCCCGAGGTCGCACAGTAAAACCAGAGCAACGCAAGCGGCGAATGACACTCCATCCAAACCAGCCCACAAAAAGAAGAAGAAGTGAAGGTTAAAAAAAGAACAGAAGCTTACCCAACAACGCCGGAGCGAACAGCATCTGGATGGCCTGCAGCCTCAGAAGCTGGGTCGTTGGCAGGTCGAACAGCCACTTCAGTGGCAACATTCCTATTGGCAAAGCAGTAAGTACATTGCGATTGCAAGCAATGAGCAATGAACGCGCGGCAACCGACTCAAGTCTGGTTGAACCAATTGCCGCTGACATCAAGTCAAGCAGCATGCGAGCGACCTAAGTCGGCTCGATGTGGAGGGAATGAAAGGGATTGAACAAACAACTCACCTAGAAAGCTGCACCCTAGCTTGGATGTGCACACCATCGAAGACCTGAGCATTTGAAGGGCACCGTTGTCCCTCTATGGCAGCAACAGTCTTCTTCTTGGGAGGCCCAGACTTCACTTGGGTTTTCCCCACTTCTTGGGTGGCGGCATCGTTGGCAGGGGCATTGATAGCCGTCTTCTTCTTAGGCGGCCCATACTTAACTTGGGTTTGCCCATCTTCTTGATTGCCGGTGTCGTTGGCCTGAGTGAAAGGTGCGACTGGCTCGGCAACTTGAAAGTCGGGGGTGGAAGATGCATGGACGGAAGCACGCCGTCCCTGTTTAGGTGGTGCGAGGTCGGGGACATTCTCCTTGGTGGAAATGGTCTGCTGGCCAGGCATTAGAACGATGCAAAAAGTATATTGAAAGGAATCACGTACCGCAGAGCGAAGACGACGGCTCATGTTTGACAGGTAGGTAAGGTTGATGTGTATTGAGGTTGAAGGGTATTTCAAGAGATGGTGGTTGCTAATGAAGAAGAAATGTGGAAACGACAGAGTGCTGGCAAAAGACTGACTCACGTAAGCAACTGATGCGATGAAGAAGTGGGGATGGGGCCGAGGAGGAACACATAAACAAAGCGGCGGGCCAAAATACTCGGCCTCACAAGGTCGTCGTCGATAAGTGGAAACGGGAGGTGGGCCCGCCAAAGGATTGGCGAAATCTTTTGGAATTCGCATTATCAGACCCAGGTCCACGCCTGTATGAAAAATGTCAACAAATCTGTTAGTAAGGCCGTAGTTGAGTGCGTACAAAATGGCAGAGAGAAGCAGGGTGTTGGTAAAAACGATGGGGGAAAGCTGCTGGTAGAGACACTGAGGGGGGTTTCGAGCAGAAATTGAGAGTGATGTTTGATATCACATGGAGAAGCGGGGTGTTGGTGAATACGACGGGGGAAAGCTGCTGGGCGACGCTGATCGTTGCATCGCCGCTGGATGCTATAAAAAAATTGTGGACAAAGCAGGGTGTTGGTGAATACATTGGGGGAAAGCTGCTGGGCGACACTGATCGTTGCATCGCCGCTGGATGCTATAAGAAGATTGTGGACAAAGCGGGGAAATCTTCTGGGGGACGCTGATGGGTTGCATCGCGCCTGGATGGTATAAAATAAATGCTAAAAAACAAATGTTGGTGAAAAGAGGACGAAGCGGGGTGTTGGTGAAAACAAAGGGAGAAATCTGCTGGGGGACGCTGATGGGTTGCATCGCGCCTTGATGGGATAAGAAAAAATTGGTGAAAATGCACAAGTGGCTACCACCTTTATCATAAAACTAAGGCACTTGCCTGTAGAGCTGTGTGTATAAGTCCACAAGTTGTATGAAAGGCCTTTCATAGGTGTGTCCTGTGTCTTTCTTTCTCATAAAGGCAATGTTCTTTTCATAAGATATAGGCAAGGCCACAGAGTGCTTTTCATAATTAAACCTGTGCGCTTTCAATAGGTATTTCATTCACTGGGTTAGGTGTATTCATTGCCTTTTTCATAATTAATGGTGTGCACTTTCATTGAATATTTCATTAGGAATTTTGGGCGCTTTCATTGCTTTTTTCATAATTAATCCTGTGTGATTTCAATAAATATTTCATTCACTATGTTAGGTGTATTCAATGCCTCTATCATATCTAATGGTGTGCGCTTTCATTGAATATTTCATTAGGAATATTGGATGCTTTCATTGTACTTTTCATAATTAATGTTGTGCAATTTCAATAAATATCTCATTCCCTAGGTCAGGTGTATTCATTGCCTCTTTCATATTTAA